TGTCCAAAAGCAGTCACTGCAGGGTCAGCCATGACTGAGCGCAGACAAAAAAAAAAAAAAACAATTTATATTGCTGCCCACCTCTCCTCAATGCAGTGGCCTTGCATACTACAGTAAACTTTTATCTTAGAGTTCTCATGACTGTTTCCCTTTAGCACAAATATCTGTCTATCTATTGTAGTATTTTTGAGTTTGTTCCACAGCTTTGTTCTCGAGATAAGATGTATCTCCAGAATGCACACCTGAAATTAATAATATAATGCAAAACCTGGTTTGGACAAATATTTCAGCCAGATGTTGCAATGTTGTTGTACGCAGCCCAGAATTGCTTTGTGTGAGATGGGTGACTATATAAATGTGACATATAAATAAATAAATGGGCACAATCAAAAATTGAATATCCAATTTTGATACCTGTCTGCTCATTTGCCGGAATATATTCTGAATTGATTTAGTCAGACAGTTTGTTATATCAGTGCTTGACAAGCTTACTTATTATATTTAAGAAGCTGATGGACCAATAGATAGTTAACAAGCAAATCTTGGTTGTCTGATTTGTAAACAGGCACTCTATAATAGCTAAACCCCAGACTTTTGCTATTTGCCAATATGATCAATATAAACGAACAGGGAAGCTAATACAGGGTTAGGATTATCTATAGCAAGGATTTAGTAAAAATCCATAACCAAAGAAAATGCATTTCTCAAAGCATCTAGCTGAACTCTATAAAGGTTAGCAACAGCACTCATAAAAAATAACATCTTCAGAAGTAGCTGATTCTAGATTTATGATAACTGTTCTATGTGCCCCTCAATTTATTCATAATGTTTTACTGAGTCTTGAACTAGGTTCTCTTTTTGTAATTGCTCACATATGAATTTGCCACCTGAGATACTGGTTGAAATTAAATTTTCAAACAACCAAATTAATTGGTTGTTTTGGGGACTGTACCAATGATAATGGTAGTTGCTGTTCTTACTGTTTATATACATATATATTAGTTGATTTGAAGGCACTGTTATTTTATCTCATTTGTTCTTTCTCTTAATTCATTTCATTGGTCTTACAAATAAGTATTTCCTTTTTACTTTTTAATTTGGTTTCTCACAGTAAATTTATAAATAAAAATAAGTGAACACATGTCAGAGGTTATTTCTGTCATAAACCCACCACAAGTGCTTATATCTAAATCACTACTTTTGAAAAGCATTTTTCATTTAACAGGCAAGCTTTCCTAATCTTTTTTATTTGTAAACAACTTTAGTAGTCATGTGAAAAGAAAGTAAAGTCTCCAAATAAATTTCTCAGATGTATGGGTTAAATACATTGTTCAAGTCAAAGTTTTTCTCCCAGTCCATTGGCTCACACTGGTAAACTCTGGCAGATGGAAATAAATCAGCTTCAGCATTTGCTTTTTCATTACTGTTAGTGCCTTGCCAAATCAGACCTATAACATATCAAATACACAGTACTAACAGTGTAAAGCAATATGGTAAAAAATGATTAAGAATCACATTTATCAATCACGGAATGGATTTGTTTTATATAGCAATCCTGAGAACCTGTATCTATGCAGTAAGAACTACCTTCTACAGAGTTAGTGTCTTTGAAGATTAAGCATTTCCAACTTCAGAATCACAAGATGGTTGTTGGGAGAAAACATAGGAGGGAGCACTATGTTTGTTACTTTTAACTCCTGTGCAAAAGAAGTGGCTATAAATCTAACAAATAAATCCTCCTGTGTATTGAGGATTATTTTCCAATGTCCAGCTAACCCTTCACCCAGGTACTTCTGCATTTCCCTAAATGAAGGCCTAATAAATTTCTTAAGGATTTATTATGTAATGTTTTTCACTTTTAATCTAGGTGGGTCAGCCGAGTGACTAATCATCTCCTTCGGAGACTATCTGATACCTCAGATCATACCAGGTACCAATTCATAGCAGGGCATACTAGGCACTGGTCTTCACACTCATAAACTAACAGCATTCACAGAACACTCCTGGGCTCTCAGAGACTTCTTTTATTCTCTCACTCAAGCTCTTGAACATTGAAAAGTCCAGTGAAATTCTATCTCATGACTTATGTGGTAAGAGAAAGATAACTCAAAATTCCTATATCTATGGTTCTTCATTTAGTTTCAAGCAAGTAAACAGTTTCCCACAATACAAAGTCTTCAACACAGAGAATTCAATTCAATACACAATTGAGATTTCAACATTCTTTTGGACTTATTTAACAATTCTGTTCAAAATATTCTAACCAACAGGTGCAGGCTCCAATTGGATGGTCAGCCCAATTAGAAAACACAATGTTCACAAAGAGATATGGGAAGTGGTAAGAGGTGAATGCAAATCAAGATACTTTGGTAGTGGAAGCCCTCTGACCTCTTGCTCTAAAGATCTAGAAGTCCAGACCTTATATTTCCTTAGGATCCAGGCTGCTAATACCCCTTCTTTTTCTACTGATCACCTTTCTCAGCCAACCCACTTCCCTGGGGTATTGACTGGTCTTTCCTCTTGGTCTTCCGGATTGACCAGTATCTTCAACATGTATCATCAAAAGTCTGGTTGACAAGTTTAACCACCTAATCAATGTGAACTACTCATCCTTTTATCTATTTGTTGTCCTCAGATGGTACATTTTATTCCTCTGTCTCCTTTTCAGCCTCCTTCATAAAAAGGTTCAAAAATAAGTCCTAACTTTCACAAACAATGCCTAATTCTTAACTCAGCCTGAATTAGTATTAAATACTAATGTAATGTTTCTTAAACT